TTTTTAAAAACTAATTTTATATGTTGCTTTTTAATCATAATGATGTAAAGTTCAGGCAGAAATCAAATTCATGTTTTTAATTTTTAAAAACTCTTTTCCTAATATAACTTAGGCTAGTCAATACATTGATCAGAAAGAACATTTCATGTAAACAAAAGACAGAAAAATGAGAAGTACAAGTTATTGAGATAATCTCTTCACAGAACAAACCATTCTAGTTATAATTAGACCATGTAATATATTCCCTATTCCCAAACAACGTGTAAGATATTTGATTTTCAGACAAGTGCAGCATGACAATCATGTCATTGTTGTCTTTTTCGTTTTTTAAAGCAAAGTAAGTTTGTGCATACTTTTCTTTGATGTGTGTTCTATTTTTGTCTTTGAAAACATTGCTTTCAAGATTACAACATAGAGGAAAATTATTTGAAACAATTTTGTTTTAAATAAAATACAGAGTGGCTGACAGCAAAGAAAAAAATCATGCATATTCTAACCAATATTTACCTCCAGGTTTTGTGAGTTTAAGCAAATATAGTCTGGTCAAAGATTATATAAGATATATGCACCAATTTTCCTTGACTCATATTTAAGTATTTTTGCATCTTAAAAAACAGATCTTGCAAATGTTTTCAAAACGAAGTTAGATTTCTGTGTTCTCCTTCATATGTGACCTACAGTTTGGTCAGCTATATACTGCTTGTAGTCTATGATAAAGAGAACACCCCTTATACTCATCAACAAGTCGATGGAGTGGTTTTGGTTAAAGCATTTAAGTTTTTTGAAAATTAAAAAGAATTATTGCTTACCATTCAGTATATTATTAGTCTCCCCAACACATTCATGCATAAATACACACATGCACACATACATGCACACACACACACACGTGAACTACAGGAAACAAAAAATAGCTATTCTCCCCTGAACACATGCATGACTATATACAACCTCACTCTGTGTTTAGAATATGTGTAAGCCTAGACCATACCTATAGGGCCTGGGATGCCTGGTAAACCGATTTCTCCTGCAGGACCTCTGTCTCCTTTTTCACCTCGGGGTCCAGGGGGACCTTTAAAAAAATTACATTACTAATCACAATTGCAAAGAACAAGTAAAACACATTTGTCATGGTCAAGACAGTTGTATAAGGAAGTCTAAAGTCTTTTATTTGTTCACCAGTAACATAGAATGAATAAAATGGATCTTCCTGAATTGAAAATACTCTGTTTTTTAATATTATCATGCTCTTTCAACAAGGATGACATTGTCCTAAACTAAGCCTCCTAAATATATATTATTTATGTGTGACTAACACTTTTCTAGATTCTAAGAACCCAGGGAAAAAGAAAAGACACCACAATAACATGAAACAACATTAGTATTGTGTACACAATAGGCATATTTCATTATATTGAGTTAAATATTGTGTAGAAGATGTATAAAGATTTATAAGATGAATGATAGTCTCAAGGGAAACAAAATTCATGCACCAAAGATGACCAAAAGCCATATTATTAGTGCGGACATAAACTCATGTATCTGTCAGAGAGATGAAGATCAACATGAATGGCAAAAGATAGAGATATTATTAAGGAATTTGAATTTGAGGGCTAATTTGAACAATGAGTACAATGAGAAAATGAAAAGATTCTGCAGAAGAGGGACAGATGTGGTGAAAGATGTGGGAAAGAGGTATATTTTTTCAACTAAAATATTAAGTAGAATCCCTAGATCACTATAGGAATTATAAAATAAGGTTGAGGGATTGCACAGAAAATTCTGACTGCTTGGCTTCCAAGTTTCTCAGGCCTCCTGAGTGCTGCATTTAATACTGATTTAGTCATTTGAACTTCCTGTGTCCGACAACTCAGATATCTGATAATCACCACAGAATGATGGCACCATGTTTCTAGGAATTAAAGGTGATCGGGCTAGCATTCCCTCTTCCATCTGGATTGTACAGACTTAAAGTAGAGCATTTAATTTTCTTTCCAACCCCAAAAGAAAGAAACAAACTTGGTACCATAAGATAATTGGATAGTGATGTGTTAAAGTAGGCATTTTAGATTGCTGCAATTAGGCCAAATATGCAACCTCAAGGACCATACACAACTACGGTTAGCATCTCTGATTGGAGATGCTTGTTATAAACTTTAATCAAGTCAGGAGGTATAATATGTACATAATTCTAGGAGGGGTTCCAAAATATAAACTGTCATGAATAAGTACTTTGCCCATTTCTTTTTTGCTTCTTTTGACATTCTTGTCCCTACTTTTCAATTTATCTGATCATTCCTATTTTTCAAGATGCAACTTGGGGATATCATGAACCCAGGATATCATGTCTCTTCTCAATGTCACATTGTGCCTTTCTCTTTATATTCAAAATTGGATGGTAATATTTAATCATATTTTGTTATAAAAGCAAATATATTTGTGGTAGGATATATAAAAGCCTAAAGAAAATTATGAGGAAAGTATAATTCATAATTCTATTATTTTAAGAGAATAACCATTAACTAACTCCTCTCTCCCTCTCTCTCTCTCTCTCTCTCTCTCTCTCTCTGTTTGTGTGTGTGTGTGTGTGTGTGTGTGTGTGTTTGGCTGTCTATGTTTTTCATGTAATCATCATGTAAACTACACACCACTGGGCATCATGTAAGTAACCAGGGAATGCTAAGCTATAGCTTAATTGTTCAGAGACATACATTTAGGTGTTGTACATGACATGTCTTAACTCTAATCAGTGAGAATCTCTGTGCATCACTTAGTCTATGCAGAAAATTGCAGGTCTTCTCATTAAAGGGTTTTTAGTATCCACCACATGACCACATCTGCCTTCTATTCATCACTATACAATGATAAACAAGGGGAGAAGCTGTGTGTGCTTTGTAGCAAGAATTTTCTTAAGAGAATAAAACCTACAGTTCTCAAGGATGGTGTACACCAGTGAAGACTTTAATTTAGCAATTAGGGATCCAAAGCTAGATACAGGTATTCCAGGGATAACTAAAACGTGTGAGATGAGAAACAAATTCCATAAACCAGATCTACACTCTTAGCCTCTAAATTTGTCTTCACTATTTCTTTCAGAAGTAAGAAATGACTGTCTTTCCTAATTAATTCTATTTTTTCTATCTTCTTGCATGTAACTAAGGGAACTGTAAAACAATGCTCATTAGCAGTATCAGTCTCAACAAGCACATCTGTATTATTTTGCAAAATTCAGAGTTAAAGATCCCTTTCTATATGTTTATATATGAATATATTGATATCCCGTATATGAGCCCTAAATAAGAAATTAACAAACCTTTAGCCAACCTTATCAGAAAAAGGAAAGAAATGGGCCAAATCCATGCAATTAGGAATGAAAAGGGTGAAGTTACAAGAGACCCAGCAAAAATCCAGAGGATCATCAATACCTGCTTCCAGAACCTATATGCCAATAAGATTGAAAACACAGAAGAAATGGACAGATTCCTAGATACATGTGAATTACCAAAGAAGAACGAAGAAGACCTAAAAATTCTAAACAACCCAATATGAATCAATGAAATTGAAAATGTAATTAAAAACATATCAACTAAGAAAAGCCCGGGTCCTGATGGCTTCACCACTGAATTCTACAAGACATTTAGAGAGGAACTACTGCCACTACTCTTTAAACTCTTCAATGAAATTGCAATACTCCTGAATTCATTTCTGGAAGCAAGCA